TGAAAAATCCTTTGCTTTTCCTATAGGAATTTTTCAGTTTCGAAAGTAGTCTTATAACGCGATTCTAATAATAAATCCATTCCCTTCTTATAACAAAAATAATATAGCATGTGATTTTTTTTTTTCTTAGTCCAAAGGGATTTGAATCCCGAAGGACTATTACTTTCGTTTTGGCATTTTGCGTCGGACTCCTATAAATGTCGGTTCACTTTTCAAACTGTTGCCACCAAATGTTAGAGTCCTGCATTATATTTGAAGAAATTAAATAATGAAACATCTGCATAAATGTATGTATATTTCTCGCATTGTGATAAAACAACGGTACCTAGAGCCATCCAATTTTGAATGACGTAATCCAACTGCGAATATGGGCATGTGGAAGACAAAATTTGAAATTTGGAATTTGTTTCATTATCGATTTCCTATTTTGTAAAATTTCAACGAATTTTTTAATAACAAACTCAACGATTTCAAAGCGAGCAATGACAACACTCTACGGGGGGGAAAAAAAAAACTTTTTATCTCCAGCACGCGGAACTTGTATCGGAAATCCTAAAGATAGGCTTATTTTAAAATTATTTTGCGACATTGCTCTTGAACTGAATTTTATGGTTTAATTGCAAAGAACATGATATTTAATAAATAAAGGTAACACACAAAACGTTAAAAAAAGCCCCTTTGGACGTAATTTAAAATCTGAAACATTTCAGATTTTTTTTTTTTTTTTTTTTTTTTTTTTTTTTTGTTGTTGTTCCCATAAATAATTTTTTTAGGAATATCGTGGTAATACTGGCGACGAAGTACATGATTAATTCAAAATCATGGTTGATTTGACGGTAGTTTTTAATATTTATAATAATTACCTGCATTTTAATAATTACCTATTAATAATTTACCTGCATTTTCAGACAGTTTAATTGTACAGAATTAGCTAAATTAAATCATTACTCAAAATACTAAATAATGGAAGTAGAAATGTCATTAGGAATGAAGAAAATGCATTATAAATAATATTAAGGAATAGTATTTACAAGAAAGCATGAACATTGTTATTGATTTTGATTCACGTAAAAAACTTTCTTAGAACATCCTGTTCTTTTATTATATGACTATATAACATTTTTTTACTTCCTTGTACCCAGTAAAAAGGCAGTATTGTAATCGCGAAAAGTTTCAGGCAGCATATTTCAACGAAATATCCATTTTTACCGCTATCGAATGTAATTTAACGATGTTTTTGCGTGATATCTGTACGCAAGGACAGAATAAAAGACTCGTTTCCTCCAAAAAAATTATAAAACTTCTTTAAAATTAATTCTGAAGAGAATTTTTCGTGGCGTCTGTACGAAAGTATGTACGTACGTACGTATCTCGCATAACTCAAAAACGAGTAGCCTCAGAACGTTGAAATTTTGTATATAGGACTGCTATAACATGTAGATGTGCACCTCGTATTTTGGTTGCAATCGGCCTCACCAAACGTATATAAATATATTTATATATATATCCACTCTGTTACCCGGCTCAGTGATCTCAGTTTCTTTACTCTTATATGTTTGTAAATTGTACATTTTTTGCTTTAAGAATAATTGAATTATGTTGTTTTTATCTTCCGGTTAAGGATTTTATGCCTTTAGTAAATCTGTGTGCAATATTTTTAGAATTATAAGCAATTTTAAAGTTGTTTAATTGCCGCTAAGCCTGTTTTTAATGGCGGCCATTTGAAGCAGGAGACTAGTGGATTTGTTGCCAATCTAGAGTAACTTAGCTTCGCAACAACAAAGATAACGCATTCATTTATTATTGCCAATTAAATCATGCTTAATCCTTTCTGGAATTTTTTCGAGGAAGTAAGTGTATAAGATTTACTTCGTAAATTTTAATATAGATATTTTGAGTTTTTATGTATTTTTGCCTTCTCGCGAAGTGAGAACTGAATTAATTGAATGAGAAATACTCAATCGTCTGTGAAAAACTTTCTTTTTTGTTTTATTTGCTTAATTTCTCTTATACATCATTCTAGCTTTATTATAGTATTTGAATAGAACATGTGGCAACGATTAGATAATTTTATTCTTTAAATGATATAAATTTTGTGCATTATAAGTTATAATATGAACGAAATATAATACTGTTAAGTGAATCTAGCGCCAGAGTGTTGCTATGGTAAACAAATACTAGTGTGAATTTTAAAGAATGCATTTATTCTGTTGTGGTTTATGCGCTGTCGGCGAAGTAGATTTAATTCAATCCAATAAGTTTAAATGAAATGCAAGAAAAAATGCGTATAATTTAATATTCCGTACAAGGAAGTCATGTGGTGTGCACATCAGATTTTTTTTATTATATGATTATATAATATCAGACTAAATGTAGTTAAATTATGCACTGTTGTGGAGAAAAATAGCTGCTATGTTCCATAATATCATCTGCTATCCTTCGGCGAACTTTTTTCTTTCTTTTTTGTATGTTCAGTAGACAACTTTGTTTTATGCTGATGGTAAATAATAGTAACTTTTTTTTTGTTCCACAATAAGCAAAATTACTTTTTTAACAAGGCCTGGTTAATTTACAGCTCGATTGAACCACCTTCGATCAATAAAGAGTTAATTGTAAATACTAATTTTGCGCATAAAACCCTTCCGTCCATTTCAATAAAATCTTATAATCGAAAGATCATTTAACTCCTCATAGCGTGCCGCCAACGCATACAGATCAGAAGATTAATAGTGAAGTTAACAGTGTGTAACATCCTGTGCCGAAATAACAGCTGAGTCTGAAATTTATCCGTTCAAAGATACGTTAAGAATTAAAAATGAATATTTCAAAAATGTATCTGTCTGAAAGTGTTTACGGCTTCTGCGCAGGCATTCTTGTCCCAAGATATTTGATTTCTCGAGATAGCTTTCACAGTTTGTTTCCTTTCGGGGCCAGATTTTGAATAATAAAAGAAACTCGAAAAGATAGGGAAGGTATTAAGTCTTTTGAATCTTGAAATATTTGTGTAATATCTTCCATATTCAAGGATATGTTGCATAGTGCACATAAAGGAAGGAATCCGAATGTGTAAATCGGAATATGACAACGCATGCCATATTTTATGTTGTAAAATTAGATACTTAAAAATCTTACACTTTGAAAATTAAAACAAACAAATAGTAGACAAATAGACAAAATGGCGCTACTTGTCTCCGAAGTTCTACAATAATTCTATTTAGGACAAGCAACATATAAAATCCTACACAAGTAGTGGTTCAATAATAATTCTGTATTCAAATATCCAATCTAGTTGTGAAAACGAATTTATTTGAATATCACAGGTTCTATAATCTAATCTAACATCTCATCGGCAGCATTCAAACTGCGTCAAAGCAAATCGAAAATCAAGTTCTCGTGTTTAGACTGTTGCCATTCAGAGGCAGAGAAAAGTTTCTATTCAAACCGGAACAAAAATATTCATTGTAACTTTGTTATTAGATTTCTCTGTTACCCATTGTGGTATTTTTGTTCAAGTATTACTAACCTAAACTTAAACTCAACGTATAAACCATACCGCCAATGCTGGCAAATCGGTAAAATTAAGGAACAATCAAAGAACCAAATAAACTAATTAACCAAATTAAAAAAACTGGGCAGGTCTCGCTAAACTCGTCCTCCGAGGAAGATTCTCTGGCTTCGCCAGCAGGCTTACCTCGACCTTTATTGTGAATAGATTCAACATAACAGCTAGAATAAATATAATAGAATTAAAAATTTTGTTTTAACAATTTTGTGAATCCAGATTTTCCATCTTTCTAAAACATTGAATCACTTATTTATTTAAATTAATGAATTTTACATAATTTTTAACATGAGTTCATAGTTGTGAAACCTATTATTGCTTATTGCATAATCTTTCTAACTAAATTACATAAGTAATCACAAATATACAATTCAATTTAGTTATTTTAGAAATTTACTACATAATCGATCCACTTCAAAATATTCGTATCCAACTAGATTATATATAAGCTCCATTATAAGATAATTCTTTCTATTCCTTTTCATACAACTATTTGAGTATGCTTTTATTTTTAGAATTATCTTCATTTATCAATCTATTTAATTTATTAACAATTTTTAAACCTTTGACTTAACATTTGTCAAATGTGGAATCCAGCTAAAGTTTGTGTCCATAATTATTCCCAAATATGTTATAGTGGCTTTACTAATAATATTCCTGTCTTTTCACGATACTGAATGTGGACGAACTAGCGTCGATTTCTTTGGAAAAGTTATCATGAATATTTTATCTTCACTAATTTACAACTTATTTTCTTCACTCCGCTTACAAAAAACATCCAAAGCTTTTCTCGTTTTTTCCTCTATAACTAATCTGCTTCCTCCAAAGAAAAATAAAGCAAAATCATCAGCATAAGCTTGTAGTTTTACTCCCTCATCAAATTTCAAGTTCGAAGCTTTATCTGTAACCAAATTCCATAAAGTAGAACCAAGGACAGACCCTTGGAGTGCGCCTTTATTATAATTTTTCTCTCTATATATATTCCATCTCTATTATATATTATTTTTTGATTTTCTAAATAGCTAGAAATAATTTTATACAAATTTATTGGACATTTTAATGTGAGTAGATTCAACTTTATGCTTGTTCACCAAAGTTCATTAAAAACATTTCTAATATCTACTAATATCAATGCAGAACGTAAATTATTTCTTTTATTTTTTCCACAATTCCTTTTACATTTTTAATTGCTAATATTGTATCTTTTCCAGACGTGAATCCATACTGGTTTTATTCATTAATTTACTATTTTTCAGATGAAAACATAATCTATCATTAATCAGCTTGTCCAAACATTTTCCAAAGGAGAACAGTAAACATATAGGTCTATATGCCGAAGGATTAGTTGGATTTTTTACCTCGTTTTGAAAACAGAATTAAAGAGACAGCTTTCCAAACCTTAGGGAAATATCCCTCTTCTAAACGTCTGTTAAACAGGCTAGTAATCGAATTCTCCTTCACAAACATTGATCAAACCAAGTTCTTGAAACAGATCCAAAGGAATTCCGTCAGGTCCAAGAGCCCTATTTCTTCTCATATTTTCAAGAGCATTGGTAATTTTCTGGAGTACAAAGAGAACATCCATTTTATCTCTTTAGAATATATCAAGTAATAGTTCAAGTTAAATATTCAAGTTCTATTTTCTTACTTTGTTTTGATCTAGATTTAACTTTTTCTGTGGGTAGGTTTCTCTTGTTTTTCTTTTTCATCTATCAAATAATTTTCTCTTTCTTTCAACTGACCTCTCAATTCGCTATTTTCTATTAAAATATTAATCATTAAGTTTTGAAACTTTTGAAGTATTTTCCTTATTTCATTGCCAGTTGTTTTGTTAAATTTTACAGCGGAATCTCCTAAGAAAAAACTTAGTGTACGGATAGTTCTTAATATTCTGTGTGAAAGTGATTATATGGAAGAGAAGCATGAAGAAAAACTTTCATTTCAGAAAGAAACAGAAAAAAAAAACGGCTACACTTTGCAAACTTAATGTTAGTTACCCAGCAGAATTTTGGAATAAAGTCATATCCCCAGATGAATCAAAGTTCAGTATATGGGCCGCGATATGTACGGAGAAAGCCTACTATAGAGCTTGAAACACCAAATATAACACCTCTGTGAAACACAGAGGTGGAAGCGTGTAATTTTGGGGCTGTTTTGGTGGCTACTAGAGCTGGTAATCTGTACTTCATTTGAAGATAAAATAATAATACTTACATGCATCGATATAATGCTCTGTAGTTTAATGGCAAGTTCTCAAAACTTTTGCTTGGGAATGTCGGTTGTTTTTCAGCAGAACAATGACCCCCAAGTATATAACGTACAAAGCATGGAAATGGTTACGCGACCACAGTGGTCTTCAAACTGTGAGGGTTCCGCGAATCCAACTTGGGGTTTCACAAAATGTGTCATAAATCAAATTAAAAATTTGACATGTGACAAATGTCAAAGACAATGGCTTAGAATGCTTTGCAAACCTGAACAGTTTTCTAATGGTAATAGTAGAAAAATACAGTTGCCAGTCTGTCTCAGACAGAGAGGAACTATTAGGAGCGGAGCATACGCTTTAATTGTAAGCTACGCTGATCGTTTGTGAAAAATTGTTTCTTTTTTACTTCCTTGTACGAAGTAAAGGAGGTATTGTAATCACGAAAAATTTCGGGTATCATATTTCGACGAAAATATCTATTTTCACTGCAATCGAATGCAATTTGACGATATTTTCGCGTGACATCTGTACGTAAGGACAGAATAAGGGATTCTTTTTGCCAAAACGGAATTTGATGATGATTGGAAAACAAAGATGATTTAAAGATGACATGATGATTTAAAAAGACAAAGATGGATTTAAAATGGATTCAGAAGAGATATTTTTCGTGACGTTTGTATGTACGTACGTATGTATCTCGCATAACTCAAAAAATGAGTAGCCTGAAAGCGTTGAAAATTTTATACATAGGACAGCTATAACACGTAGTTGTGTACCGCCCTTTTTGGTTTAAATCAGCATCACCAAAAGTATATATATATATATATATACCATAAATTACTTCACCCAAGTCTTACCGACTGATATTATTCAAAGCCCCTACTGCCGCTAAGAATTTTCGGACAAACCTACACTTCTGAGTCAGACACGAAGAGAACACTTTGCCAACTCCCCCACTAGAAAGAATGTAAGAATGTAAGTTACTTAATACCTTTCTGGCCTTTATATCTTCATGTACATTCACTGATCTTATTTATATTATTTTCTATATTGTTTTTATATTATTTTTATGTTTTCTTTGATTTGTTTTTACAAAGTTTGCATTGTTTATCTTTTTTATAATCTTCTATGTTTATTTCAACTTTACTTTGAATTCGATTTCATACTGACAATTTCCAATGTTTAATTTCTACAAATAATATAGTACTCAAATACATAAAGATGATAGTGTCGGGGACGGTTACTCGAGGTTACAGGATTTCTCTACAGTAATTGATTTTCACTCCAAATTGAATTGACTAAAATACTTCATGAGAATAAGTTCTTTGAGTAGCAACTATTTGCGGAAATTTTTGGCCTGACTAGAATTGCCGGTTTGGCTTTAACTTATAACTCGAGTAAAGACGAAACACTTTCATATTTACGTATTTTTATCAATTATTGTTCATTGAACGGGAGTTCATTGAACGGTTTGTTCCCCTTGAAAAGTCAACTAATTTCCGATCAATGACAATAATTACATGTTTTAATTTTTCCTTTTACAATTGATATATTATTCTTCTTCGTGATGATTTAACTCCAGTCCCCGTTAAAACATTATTAACATTTTGCTTTCAAATTACTTCAAAACATCTTTCAAAATATAACTTACCAGTATGGATGCACACTTTTAAAATAATTCTACTTTAATTAAACTTAGGAGATAATATAATCAATTAATCAATACTGTTTAGGAAATAAATTATTATATATATATATATATCCTCTCTACTCGGCTCGGTGAGCTCAGTTTTTTTTATTCTTACATATTTGTAAATAGTTTTTTTTTTTTTTTAGCCTTAAAAGTTATTGAATTATGCTGTTCTTATGTTGCGGTTAAAGTTTTCATGCCTTTAGTTATTCTGCACACAATAGCTGCAGAACTATCAATAATTTAAACCTTGTTTAAGTTCGACTACGCCTAACAGAGCAGCCATATTTGTTTGCATTTGAAACATAGTAGAATAGTGCAGCGTTTCCCAACCTTTTTTGGCCAAGGCACACTTGTCGCGGGGAAAAAAATCACGAGGCACACCACCATTAGAAAATGTTAAAAAATTAACTCTGTGCCTATATTGACTATAATAAAGTAATTCTCTTGAATAGGAATCAAATAAGCACAAAGAAAGTATTTTATAATTACTTTATTATGAAATATTAAGTAAACAGAATAGTGAAAAATTATAAAATACTTTCAGTGCGAAACCTGGGCCTGTTTGGCTGAACACAAAGCTGATATTCTGGCTGGAATCGAAGAAAGACACACACGTAGCTCTTCGTCAACAGTTCTCAGTCTCTCTCTGTATTTGGTTTTCATAGCAATCATGCTTGAAAAGCTAATCTCACACAGATATGTAGTGGAAAAAGGGAGCAATGTCAAAATAGCTTTGTTTGCCAGAAGGGGGAACTCCTTGGCAGTATCCAACCAAAAACTGTCCAAAGGTAGATCAGCAAATCTTAGCTTGCAACCACGATTTTGTCTCAGTTCAATTAGTTCCTCCTGCTCCTGTAAAGTCATTTCCTTTCCAACAACTGATGCTGAGCTATAAGGGTCCCTAACCCAGTCAAGGCATTCAGTGGAGACTGAAGAGAAATAAAATGACAACTTCTCCTCAAGAGTTTTTAAATGCTTAACTATTATCTCACACAGTGCAGCAGTGTGAACACCTTGCCATTGCATGGTGAGTGTGAACATTTCAAGATTGCCACTTTCCACGTGTTGATGCCAGAGTTGCACCTTTGAACGGAATCCATTTATTTTATCTGTACTTGTAAGCAGGTTTTCATTTCGGCCTTGCATTCGGGTGTTCAATTCATTCAGATGATGAAATATATCTGCCAGGTATGCCAGCCTTGCACACCACTCATCACTTGCAAGCTGCTTTGCGTAATCTGACCCCTCATTTGTCAGAAACACTTTAAGTTCCTCCCGCAGCTCATACACACGAACCAAGACCTTGCCACGCGACAACCACCGGACCTCCGTATGAAACAGCAAGGTTTTATGCTTTGCTCCCATCTCCTCACACAAAGCTGCAAATATGCGACTTTTCATGGGTCGTGACTTTACAATGTTTACCATGCGCACAACATCATCCAACACATGAACTAAGGCTGATGGTAAAGTCTTGGCTACGAGGGCCTCGCGGTGTGTAAAAAACAATGCGTAATAATCACATCTGGATTTCTTTCCTTCACTCTGCTTACAAAGCCTACACCTGCTTACACCGACCATGGCTGCAGCTCCATCGGTGCAGACACTTGTGCAGTTTTCCCACTTAAGTCCTCCTTGTTCAAGGTATTCTGATGTGACCCGAAAAATTTCTTCTCCTGTTGTTTTTTCTGGCAATACCTTGCAAAAAAAGAAGTTTTCTCTAATTGCATCACCATCAACAAAACGCACATTAGCTAAGAGTTGAGCATGTCCACTGATATCAGTAGACTCGTCAAGTTGCAATGCAAATTTCTCACTGATACGGATCTTTTCCAAAACCACACTTTCGATGTCTGCAGACATGTCATTAATACGTCTGGAAATTGTGTTGTTTGAGAGAGGGACTTTGGCTATTTCCTTTGCTGCTTCAGGTCCGAGCATCTCCTCTACAATAGCTTTGCAGGCAGGAAGTATTAATGTCTCTGCCACAGTGTGCGACTTTTTTGTCTTGGCTATAAGTTCAGCAACTTGATAGCTAGCTTTAAGAGCTCTTTCATTTACCTTTGTTGTTTTTCTCATAAAAGTTGCCTGTTTCTCCATGTTGTCACGCAGGCGAACAAAATAGTCCACATTCTTGTTTTGAAGCAAAGGGTGTTTCGTTTGGAGATGGCGTTTAAGTTTGCTTGGGACCATAGCACTGTTAGCTAGCTTTTCACCACACACCACGCACAGTGGAGTTGGTTTGTGTTCATCTCCAGTGAAAGTAAATCCAACTGAAATATAGCTTTCGCTATATTGCCTTGCGCCAGAGAATTTAACCATCTTTGCTTTCTTTTGACCCCCACTCATACTCGGGCTCTCATCTGGCTCCAGATTTTGTTCAGAGTCCAGTTCTTTCCTTTTCAAAAACTTGTCCATCACTGCAGTATCAGTGTCTCTCTCCTCACAGCAGCCGTTGTCTCTCTGACACTGTGTGAGGCGTCTGCCTGCGTCTCATGGGGGCGGGGACACGGCGGACACTTGTCAAGATTGGCAGGGGGAGGAGTTATAGCACTGCACAGCGCCGTGACCACCTATGACACTGGCGGGGGGAGTGACGGGAGGAGTTATAGCGGGCGAACAGCACCGTGACACCCAGACCCGGCGGCACACCACGGTGCTTCAGACGGCACACTGGTGTGCCGCGGAACAGCGGTTGGGAACCGCTGGAATAGTGAATTAGTTTCTGCACCTTCAGTGTCTTTTTACCAATTGGGACCAAAAGGAAAGTTTGGTTTTGTGCACCGAAAAATCTGCCTTCTTGCCCGCTGGCTGAATTGCTTGTTTTAGAGCAAAAACTCTAATTTTAATTGTAAAAAAAAAAAAAATGTTTAAACTGTTTTAATTGTATTTGGTGTTTTATATTTCCCTACATTTTTCAATTTTTAATCAAGATGTTTTGATGTTTTATGTATTTTTGCCTTGCCACGAAGTCGGAACGGAAATTTAGAAATATATCTCTAATGAAATTCGAGGAAATAAGTTTAAATTAAATTCAGCGAAAACTATGTATAATTTAATAGGCCGTACAAGGAAATTACGTGGTGTCTACATCCGACTTTTATTTGTTTGGTTTCTGTTATACATCGTTTTAGTTTTATTATAGTATTGGAAGAGTACATGTGGCAACGATTAGATAATTCATCAGTGATAGCTATTCTTACGTAATCTTTTCCTGCAGTGATGGTTGTTTTCTAAACTACCTCCTGAGTGTCAGTAAATAAACAAAGTGAATTTTTCATTTAGTCTATAGTGTGTTTGTGTGTATATCTATCGACGGAGTCAATTCAGTTGAAATCAGAAATGAAATACATTTAGATGATCTTATTAAAAATTATGTAATGGACCACCGTTTTCAGTTGAAGAAGACTATAAGAAAGTATTTCCCAGAACAAGAAACTAAGTATGACTGGATAAAAAGTCATTCGAGCCCTACGATAAATTAGAAGACGAGCCAATGGAGGAAAGGGAGCAACGTATAGACGTATCCAAACAAATTCGACGTTCAAATCTAAATTTAAGCAAGAGCAGCTCCAAAATATTTGGTTGCAGATTCATGAAGAATACCTAAAAGTTTCTCAAACAGCTATAAACATTTTAACGCCATTCGGAACAACGTATTTAAGTGAAAAATCTTTCGCAACGTATGTGTAAAAAAAAAAAAAAAAATAATGAAAAGCAGAATATTAATACGACTGCAGAAGACATCAACAGAGCCAAGACTTCGGCAGTTTACGGAAAAAAATGCAAGCAAATTCCAGTCACTAGAGTAGGTGACATCTGGTGCACGAGTTAATGCTATCAATGGGTAAATTACATCAATTTTATATTTAAAAGCTTTTAATAAAAATTATATTACTTTTCTTTAAATGTTATTATATGAAGTACCTATAACATGATTTTAACCAAAGTTTCCCGCCACCTCCAAATATCATCTGCGCAAAGAGTTCACGTTGGGGTGTTCAGTCATACTTTGTCAAACGATTATTGGCATTTGAAAGAAAGACTTGCTTTAAAACACTGAGTTGCGAAATGTTTAAAAAAATATCGTTCTCACTAAGTACAAGGTGTCTGAAATGGAACTATCATGCTACCAGAATAGAATCATCATTTACTTCTACTTCTGTTTCAAAACGTCAGCTACAGAATGTCACCAAATCCTGTGTACAGCTTTAGGTACTAATTTTTATCATATGACACTGTGAAGGTTTTGTGCCCAAAGCTCAAAAACAAGGATTATAACATTAAAATGCAGAGCGCTTTGACCGGCCTACTGATGTTGATAAGGCCCGCCTGCGAGAACTTGTGAAAAAGATCACTATGCAGTCAATCACTCGAGAGCTTGCTAAGGAGTTAGACGTTAGTGCGATGTTCATTAGTCGTGCTATGTATCGCGTAAACTTCACGTACAAGTTCAATCGCTGAGTGCCGCATGAGCTGACTCAAGCAGATAAGGACAGACGTGTTCGGGCCTGCACTAATCGGTTGGAATGTCAACGCAAGGACAAAATTATAGACTGGATCGTCTCCTGTAATGAAACGTGGATTTACTTCATCAACACAGGCCGAAAATAGGGTTGGTCTGCGCCCGATGAGCAAAGCGCAATTTGGCTAACAAATAGATCATGCCTTGTATTTGGTGGGATTGCCGCGGTGTTATTCACAAAGAGTATTTGGAAAAAAGTAAAACCCTCGACAGTAAGGTGTACAACGAGATGCTATCCGTGTTGATGCTGCTATCAAGGAAAAACGTCTAACTGAGTTCCTGGGCAAAAATGTAATGTTCCATCAAGATAATGCAAGAGCACATGGGTCTGCATTCACCGGCTGGACTCTGTACGGACTGGAATGAGATCTTTTGCCACATCCACCATATACTTCCCGAAATCGCTCCTTCGGACTTCTACCTTTTTTCATACCTGCAGCTACATCTTCGTGGTGCTATCTTCCATTCTGTGCGGGACGTCCGAAATGAGGCTGATCTGTTTTTAGACTCGTGGCCACCAAGTTTCTGGGCCGAATTCTTTGAAAAACTGCCAAAGCGTTGACAGAAAATCATAGATTTGGGTGGTAATTACTATCCGCACTAAAGGTACTAACTTTATTAAGAACGTTTTTTGGCGAACAACTTTAGTTACAGTTAGATATATTTTCTAAGGGTAAGACTGAGTTCCCCCAAAAACGTTTTTGTTCTAAGGTTTCTGTGAGTTGACAAAGTCTGAAGACCATTATTCTGTAATATATCTCGCCAGTTGAAAACATCATTTCAATCACCGGACCTTCAATTGAAGTTTATAGCACCCAGTTGGATCTACTTGTCAGTAGAAACTAAATTTCGTCTAAAGAAGGAGTTTAAGTAAACTTCTGCAAGAATGACAAAAGATTTCGATGATATGGCAGAGACTGTGGTTTCATCAGCGAAGAATAGACTACAAGCAGTCATAAATGCAAAAGGTATGCAGACAAAGTATTAAATATCCACTTTAATGGGGATGTATTGTATTTTGTATGATTTTGAAAATACTTTTTTAACATGGATATTTATGTTTTGATTTCGTTTTACTTCTCAAGGGCATATTAAAATCAACAGTTTCATTATATTTGAGTTTTGACTTCCTTTCTGCTTCATTACATTTTGCTTAAATTATCAGTTATTTCCTCTTAGGTATTTGTCAATACTTTTTTAACCCATCATATATTCCTTTACTTTCTATTGAGCCCAAAGCAGCGTTAGCTCAGACGACTGTTAATCTCGAAACGGGATTTTTCCTTTCATCACTATGAACGGGTAACTCACTTTTCAGATTGTTGCCACCAAATATTAACACCCTGGATTAAATTTTAAAGAAATAAATAATGAAGAATCTATATTAATGTATGTTATGTTTCTCGTAATGTGAAAAAACGACGGTACGTAAAGCATTTTGAATAACGTAATCCTTCACCCGAACATGGGCATTTGGAAGCCCCAATTTTGAGTTTCGATTTTGTTCTATTATCTATTTCATATTTTGTAAACCTTTAATAAATTTTTGATTAACAAACTCAACGATTTTAAAGCGAACATTGGCAACACTGTACGAAGGAAAAAAATATCTACCAGCGCGCGAGACTGTCTGTCGGAAATTCTAAAGCTATACTTTAAAATATTTTGTGGCATTGCTGTTGAATTGAATTGTATATGGTTTATGTGCGAAGAACATGATATTTAATAAATAAAGGTAACGCATAAAACGTTAAATATAAAAATCTGAAGGCTTTCCGATTTTTTTTTATTGTTTAATTTACATTAACTGACCGATTACAATTTTTAATTAGTTATGCATACTTTCGTATCACATAGTACAATTGTGTGTCATAGAAATATCAATATTATATCAGCTGCACATTATACAAATAATTATCATACATTTCAATAGTTATCATGCAATACAACTGTATTTCGCACTAATTTCAAGTTTCAGAACTTTTATCATATCCACTAAATCTATAACAGTAGCATCGATATTGACACATATAATATTTGAGAATAACTTTTGCGAATTCAGAGTATTCTAAACACAGATTTTACGCGAAGAAGTTATTGTATATTTCCCAATAAAGTAATGATTTTATCGATTATTATCCATTTATAAAATTACTTTCTACATCGCGTAGGAAAGGAAACATAACAAACAATAGGTAAATTTAATACTGTTTCAGTAAGTGGTTTGTTCTATTCTGTTGTCCTTCTTCGCTATCGTAAACTAACCGGATTGGTCGCTCAAATTATTGATAGAACTTCTAAGTCAACAAACACGTCTCAAGGTAAAACTGCTGCGTAAATGGGAGATACTGCTCTGCTGTGTTAAAGTTTTTCATCTGTTAGGTCTAGGAAGGAGAGAAAAACACTATTCTTGACTTAAAAAAATTATCTCATCAATTTATATTATACAAGATTTTGCAAAATGGTCGCTATAATTTTTACATCCTTAACTACTGATACATAGGTTTTATACAAAAACAGACTTTTTTGATAAACCGGTTTTCGAATTCAGTATTTCGAAAAAAACCGGTTTTAACCGGTTTTCGAATTTTTGTCAAAAAAATATAATAGGGAAAAATATTTTATTTAATTTATATAAAATAACAAAATCCGAAATCAATATCAAAGTCAAAATATTAAAAAAAAATTAAGGATTGCATATACATATTACTTACACAAAATAGCGAAAACTCAAACAAAAATTTCAAATCATATTTATATTTTTTCACTAATTTTAATTTCTCGGAAGAAAATAGAATGTAAATAAACATAAAATATCCACTGAATGGTGGCTTAATTTTGTTTTTATTTTGGACACACTATTATCTGAAATTGAAAATACTCTTTCGCTAGC